CTGCACCCATGTGGGAGACCTGGAGGAAGCTCCTGGCTTCGGATTGGCATAGCTCTGGTCATTGCAGTACTTGGGGAGTGAATCATCAGACGGAGGATGTTCCTCTCTGTCTCTCCTCCTCTCTCTATATAATGTCTTACTTTGCAATAAAAAGAAATAAAAATATTTTTTAAAAAATGGAAAGACAGATCAAATTTATGAAAAGAATGAGGGACAGAGAGAAAGATTGTCGGTTGCAGGGTCCTAAGGCCTTAGGTTATTCTCTGCTGCTCTCCCAGGCCATAAGCAAGCAACTGGATGGAAAGTGGAGCAGCTGGGACACGAACCGGCACCCTATGAGATCCTGGCACTGGCAAGATGAGGATTTAGCCATTGTGTCAGATCCATTGTGCAGATATTTCTATTTGTATTTTTAGGCTGAGAGAGGTTAAGATCATCTGTTTGCTGAATGGCCAACTGAGAAGGAAGAGCTAAGATTCTGGTAGCTTACCTCCAGGGTCCCACTTGTTCCTCTGCAGAAGGCACCAGATTGAGACCTGGGGAAGCCCCTGGTTGTCTTCCTCTGTTCGTGCTGGCACTGGCATCAGCATGGACAATGGGCCTTGAATTTAGCATGTGTACCGTCTGCTCACTGGGGGAGATGAGGCCTATAAAGCAAGAATCAGCGTTCTGTCTGTGGGCTTAACCACAGCATCAGCTGGCAGAAACTGGCACTGGGGGCTAGTTCTGTCAAGTCAAACCACAGAACTATCTGGAGAGTGCATAATCTGGGAGTGGGAGAGGCCTGGGAAGGAAATAGTGGGCTTCTCCCTCTTGGGTTACCACTTCCACGGGAGGGCATAAAACTAGGACAGTGGCTGGGGTGGAATGGGGTGTGGGACAGACTGGACTACTGCTACACATACTGGCAAACCAGGGTAGGGGGTGGACCTAGTGGGGGTTATTGCGGATCGCTCCAACTAGGCTGCAGCTCCCACTGGTTTATATGAGGGCCGAGCATATGCTGGGCAGAACGAGGCTGGACTGCAACACCCATTGGTTCCAATGGAAGTTGGGAGTGAAAACAGAACCAACCCAGAAATTGCAACCACCAGCTGATCAGGGCGATGGACTGTGCCGGGTCCTGTCCTTGCTAGAATCTGTCCATACAAGAATCTGGTTTGAGAACACCTCAGATAAAGTTTCTTTGGAGATCTCCCCAATCAAAATGCTGGACTCAGAACCAAACCAAGAAAAGACAGAACAGGTCAACCAACCATCTCAGCTGTATCTTGGCAACGAAATACGGGGCAGAGACTCTATGATGGACTAAGTCAATCAGTGGATTCTTCAATGTCCTCATCGTGCTTGGAGTGGCGAGATTGGCAGTGATTCATAACTGTTGAAATATCAAATGCACTTGAGCAAGAACCTCAGAACATGCCCTACATCCGGGTCCTGGGGAGGGTGGGAAATTGGGTGGGCCTTCTCCCTTAATACCCCCTTTAAACATGAAGGAAACAATATGGAAAAAATAATAGTCTTACCCACTTTCCTGTAGCCCTTGAACCTTCTTACCCTAATTAACTGTATAAAGATTGTCAAAATATTAAAAAATATATATATTTTAAAAAAATACAATGGACATTTGTGATTTGTTAGTTTTAGCCCTGTTTGATCTTCTCTGCTTTTTGTTTGTTGAGTATTATGGCTAGTGGTACATTTAGCCTGTGATTACAGAGTGAACTGAAATTATGGTTTTTTTCCCCAAAAACTAGAAAAGGAATGAGGATAATTGAGGGAGGGAAAGCAGGAAGGATGGTTATTTTATTAGAATTATACCTATGAAACACATGAAATATGATCTCAGTATGTTAATAAAATTGCCAACCGAAGATACACAAGAAAAAAGAAAGTGAAACAAAAACAAACCACCCCAGAAATGTAGTGTCGATTAGTTAACATATGCAAGGTAATGTTACTTTGCACAGGACCTTGATGATGAGACTAGAGAGATCCCATTTACTTGTTCACTTCCGAAATACTTGATAAACCAGATAGGGACAAGAATAATCATGCCGGGGAGAGCCAGCAACTCAAGTCCAGAACTCTTATGTGGGCGGCAGGAAACCATTCACTAGCGACATCATTTGCTGTCTCTTGGAGTTACTCTAGACTGAACCAATTCTACCTGTCTTAAACAGGAAGCTGGCTTTCAAACCTTGGTACTCATAATTGAGATGCAGGTATCTGGACCTCAACAGAATGAGTTAAGAAATAATCCAAAAGAATGAGTTTAGTAATACATGGGAACATGCATTCAATCTACTACAAGTGCAGAAATTCACTGGGGGTACCAAGATAGGTATTTGAAACCTATCTTATAAAATAAGAGAGCTCCATAATCTATAGGTATGTATTCAAATCTTGTCAGTTTATTCTGTGACTACCCCCTTTCTGTTCAATTATATCTGATCCAGGATTAACTATTGTATTTACTTGCCATGTACTATTAATCCCCTCCAATCTGTTATGCTTTCTTAATCTTTAATTAACCTGGCAGTTTTGAAAAATATTGACTATTTTTGGGCCCGGCGGTGTGGCCTAGTTGCTAAAGTCCTAGCCCTGAACGCGCCGGAATCCCATATGGGGGCCAGTTCTAGTCCCAGGAGCTCCACTTCCCATCCAGCTCCCTGCTTGTGGCTTGGGAAAGCAGTTGAAGACGGCCCAAAGCCTTGGGACTCTGCACTCAAATGGGAGACTTGGAGGAGGTTCCTGGCTTCTGGCTTCGGGTCGGCACAGCACCCGGCCACTGTGCTCACTTGGGGAGTGAATCATCGGAAGGAAGATCTTCCTCTCTATCTCTCCTCCTCTCTGTATATCTGACTTTGTAATAAAAATAAATAAATCTTATATAATATTGACTATTTTTAAGATTTATTTTAATTTGAATGGCAGATTTAAAGAAGAGATAGTTATCTTCCATCTGCTGGTTCACTCCCGAAATGGTCACAAAAGGCCAAAGCTAGGCTGATCAGAAGCCAGGAACCTGGAGCTTCTTCTGGGTTTTCCCTGTGGGTACAAGGCCATTTTTTGTTGTTCTCTAAGGCTCATTAACAGGGACCTGGATCACAGTGGAGTATCTGGGACTCAAATTGGAACCTGTATGGGACATTAGCACCTCGGGTGGAGGCTTAACCTCCTTATGCCTTGTCACCATCCTCAAATTATTTTGTGTAATATCCCTCTTTTCATTTTCTGTATGTGTGCACAAGTATTATCTATTTACACATATACATGTATGTAAACATAAAGATGTATCTATTTACTTGAAAGGCATTTAGAGAATGAGAGAGGTGGAGAGGGAGACAGAAACATCTTCCATCTGCTTGTTCATTCCCTAAATGCTTTCAATGGCCAGGGTTGTGCCAGACTGAAGCCAGGAAGCTGGAATTCCACCTGGATCTCCTTCATGAATGGCAGGGGCCCAAACACTAGACCCACCTTTCACTGCTGTTTCCAGGTGTGTTAGCAGGGAGCTTGATTGGAAGTGGAGCAGGTGGGACTTGAGCTGGTGCCAATCTGAGATGTTTGAATTATGGGCAATGGTTCAACCCACTGTGCCACTATACTGGTCTTCCCTTATATATATATATATATTTTTTAAAGATTTATTTTTATTATTTTTTCATTGGAAAGGCGGATATACAGAGAGGAGAGACAGAGAGGAAGATCTTCCGTCTGATGATTCACTCCCCAAGTGAGCGCAACGGCCGATGCTATGCCGATCTGAAGCCAGGAGCCTCTTCTGGGTCTCCCATGCGGGTGCAGGGTCCCAAAGCTTTGGGCCATCCTCGACTGCTTTCCCGGGCCACAGGCAGGGAGCTGGAAGGGAAGCGGGGCTGCCGGGATTAGAACCGGCGCCCATATGGGATCCCGGGCGTGCAATGCGAGGACCTTTAACCACTTGCGCCACCGCGCCGGGCCCTTCCCTTATATTTTTTCATGGATAAGTTGAGGCTATGTGTTTTTTTTGCCATAACAACACAAAGTAATTATTATGCATATATCATGTTAAGAAGCTGATGAAGTCCAAGTGTATTTCTCTGGATTTTCTTTCTTTTCTTTTTTTTTTTTTGGAGTTTGTAAACTGAAATCATGGTGGAATAAACGTATGGGACGAGACAGCTGAACAGTAATCTATAACCGTTTTAAGGTGTATAGAACCTGGTTGTATATAAACTAAAATCGAAATGTTAATGAAGAAGTCACAGGATGTGGTTAAGAACTTGCATTTTTTTTAACATATTGGTTACTCAATACTATGTCCACTAATTCCAAAACGTTATAAATTGTTGCTGATGTTATGTTGGCGCTTTTAATTGATCAGGATGATACTCTGCCGGCTCTACCTTCAGACCAGAAATGGTCTCCCCAGGAAGCTGTTGAACTTATGTGGACAATAAGATGCTGGACTCTATGCTTGGTATATGCTTACAATGAAAGAATCTCAACTGAACTTAACTGTGGCAATGCAGCAAGGTGGAGGAATCCACCATGGGGGGAGGGCTTGGGGAGGGGTGGGGAGAATCCCAGTACCTATAAAACTGTGCCACATAATGCAATGTAATTAATAAAAAGTAAATAAATAAAAAAAAGTATGGGAAAGGGAAGTTATCTTTTTTCTTGGAATTCTGGGATTTAAACAATATATTTGATATTCTGGACTTGTTATTTATTTTAATGAGGCAAAAAACATTGTCTGGGTCTGGGTCAGTACAACAAGGCTATTCTTCCAAACGTGCATTTATAGAGTTTACAGTATTTCAAGATGGTTTTGTGTTGGACACTAAGAGAATGGTTAAGTATAAAGCAAGATGCCATTGGTATAAAGAGAGAAAACATCAATTAGATAAAATTTGTCCTCTGGTTACCAGATAAAGATTTTAGGTACCAACTAGTGTTTTTGGAAAAATGTGAATTGTGTTGCTTAACAATCCCTCTCCATTTTGTGTATTTAGAAATGTCTGTGAACCTATGAGTGACTTCCAAGAGGGTTCCACTGCTGCCAAAGAACTTCAGCCTGTATTGCCTTCAAAAGGAGTTCCTTTATTTGATGAAGAGTCCCAGGTGAATGCAGTAGATGCAGCTAGAGATGGTGAGCGGCTGATCATGTTGACCTTTCTGATCAATTTAGATAGTTTTTCATCTTACTATCAATTTTAGAGTAATTTATCTCAATTTGGAATGGGTCAGAGAATGGCCATTCTAGAGAATATTCAGAATAACAGATACAAAAATGGAACTAAGTAGAAGGAGATTTGTGGGAGCTCTGACTTAGAGGATTGGCTTGGAAGGGGTACACGCTTCACAGGTCAGGATTGGTACGGTTGGGCTCTTTATCATTACTTGTAGCTGTGTCTTTAGGGTGGGATGGATGGGTAATAGGTGAAGTTGCAAATAGGCTCAGGTAATAACACCCTAATATCTAACAGGAATGTGATAAGCAGATATCCTCAGAATCCAAGAAAAAATCCTTGGAGGGTACAAAATGTAGAGGAATTAGAGCTAGTGTTATCAAAGCAATCTATTGGCATCAAGATGTTAAATAGCATTTCCTAGTCACCAGCCTACATTCAAGGTAGAGTTTAAGTTTCTAGGAGCAGTTTTTGTATTGAAGATTTGTTTTATCAGTAACTAACATCTCTATAGAATTTCATCTGAAGTGAGGAAAGAAGTAACCTTTTGGGAAGATAATGTCTTAGGAGTAGCATTACGAATGAACCCCCAAAATCTGGGAATAATTTTTAACTAAAATAAATAGGAAAAGACTTGTATTTAAATCAAAATATAAGATGACTTCAAAGTATGCATGGAAAAACTATAATTAAAAGATAAGATGATTTTGGTTCAAAAAATTTACAGTTCGTGCTTAGTTTTTTTCATAATAAGTTATGTGAACTTGCTGAGGAATAATTTGGAGGTATTATGAAAACTGTATATATTTCAAATTTTTAAATCTCTATATGAATATCTTTTAGCTTGATATTATCACAGGCATTTTGAAATGCCCTTATATATTCATGGAGCAAGTGCTAACAAAGTTATTGAGCCCTTACAATGCCTGTCAGAATTGTCATGGTCACGTAAGGTTTAAAATGATATTGAAGATTCCCTAACTTTTTCATGGTTCATCTGTATGGACACCTTTACTTTTCCCTGTGTCAATTATGAACTTATTACCTAGTTCAGTTCTTTGCCAGTAATAGATACAGAAAAATCAGAGACTGCGTTGCACTTATTTGTGTTTTTAATGCTTTGCATAGTTCTTTCCACTCAAATATCCTCATTAATTGTTGAAATGAATGGATCTAAATTAGAAAGACTCAGAACACAGGATATAAAGGATAAATAATAGGATAAGTGAATGAAGGGTCAAATAATTTTATTCATAGTTGTATTAAAATGTGAATTTACCTTTTATATAAGAATTACAGCAGGTATGTAGTCTGAACTCTATAGAAAATGGAATGGTGAGGTAGATGACTTTGTGAGTACTGCCTCCAAGGAACAAGTATTCTTTAATATGATTGTAGGCAAGAAATTCAACTTAAGATGATTTGGAGGAAAGAACTATTGCGTGGAGAAGAACTAGGCTCAGCAGAACTAGGCTTGCCTTTGAACTGGTGTTTAGAATCTCTGACTCTCAGGCAAGTCAGGGGCCAGCTTTAAAATTTTGCTTTTTTGGGATAAGAATAGGTAACTTAATTGTCTCATAGAGTTGTCATCTTGTTTTTACAAACTGAAAAAATGTTACCTGTACAGCAGCATCACTATGGACAATAATACTAATGAAAATGAGGGGATCAAAAAGTAATTAACACTGTGATAGGATTTATGAGTGACTTGGAATTTTATAAGGGACTTGCTTGAATGAGGTGCCAATTTGTCTTTGTTGTGTTAGAATATTTTTCAAACCACTGGGTACCTTGATGTCTTGGTGACACCTGCTTGAGACTGGTGGCAATATGTGCCACACTGGGTCCATTATGCCTGATGTTGGGCAAGTCTAGAGGCTTAGTGTGTGAGCACTAGCCACGAGTGATGTAGGTAGAGGACCTGGGCTTCATCAGATGCTGGGTCTGAAGGAGGTGGACCCAAGTCAAGATCCTAATTCTGTGTTACTGTGCAGTAGCTGCAGCCAGTGTGATGACAGTTGTCTTGAGACCTACCATTTCATTACTGACTCATGGTCAATAGCCGAAGATTATTAAGGGCATCAGACTTTTAAAAGAAGATTGTCAGGCCTGGCGACGTGGCCTAGTGGCTAAAGTCCTCGCCTTGAATGTACCGGGATCCCATATGGCCACCAGTCCTAATGCCGGCAGCCCCACTTCCCATCTAGCTACCTGCTTGTGGCCTGGGAAGGTGGTTGAGGATGGCCCAGAGCCTTGGGACTTTGCACCTGTGTGGGAGACCCAGAAAGAAGTTCCTGGCTTCTGGCTTTGGATCGGCGCAGCGCCAGCTGTTGCGGCCACTTGGGGAGTGAATCATTGGACGGAAGATCTTCCTCTCTGTCTCTCCTCCTAACTGTACATCTGCCTTTCCAATAAAAATAAATAAATCTTTTAAAAAATTCATTTAAAAATTTTCATTTACTTGTATTTTGTTTGAGAGATAAGATAGTCATACACAGAGCAAGAGGGAAACACCCTTCCACTCATTGGTTCATTCATTCACCAAACGCCTCAACAGCCAGGTCTGGGCCAAGTCAAACTAGGGGTCCAAAACTCAGTGGAGGTTTCCTGCAGGGACGGCAGGAAGCCAAGTGCTGGATCCTCACCTGCGGCCTCCCAGGGTGTTCATTAACAGGAAGCTGGGATTGTTACAGGAGAGGAAGCTCGGAGGACCTTGTCTTCAAGCAAGGAGGTAATTTTTATTTCTGAAACTAGTCATATCAACACTCAGCAGGTCAGAATGATCTCAAAACTGAGCAAAAGATTTGAACAGAAAGGACCAAAGAAGCACATGAGATGTTCAATGTCAGTAAAATGGCATTTCTCACTGAGAAAATGTAAAACAAAGTCAGAAAGACATAGTATTTCATAGCCTCTATGGTATTAATTTTTTCATATTTTTTTATTTTTATAGGCTATTTATTTTGTTTTTAAGATTTCATTGATTTTTATTGGAAATCCAGATCTACAGAGAGAAGGAGAGACACAGAGAATGATCTTCCATCTACTGGATCACTCCCCAGGCGGCCTCAATGGCTGGAGCTAAGCCAATCTGAAGCCAGGAGCCATGAGCCTCTTCCAGGGTCCCAGGGCTTTGGGCCGTCCTCAACTGCTTTCCCAGGCCACTAGCAGGGAGCTGGATGGGTAGTGAAGCAGCCAGGATACAAAGCAGTGCCTAAATGAGATGCTTTTATATGCAAGGCAAGAACTTTAGCTACTAGACAATTGCTCCGGGGCCTATAGATTATTATTTTGAAAAAGGGGGGGAATCTCAATTGAACTTGAACTGTGGTTATGCAACAAGGAGGAGGAATCCACCATGGCGGGAGGGTTAGGGGTGGGTGGGGGGAGTCCCAGTACCTATAAAACTGTGTCACAATAATACAATGTAATTGATAAAAAAATGAAATGCATTAAAAAATTAAAAATAAAAAAGGGAGGGATTGTTGCTAACAATGTGGGGGAATTAGAACTCAAAAAAATTAGATGGAGGTCTTGATCTGTTTCCCTCTGTGTTTATCTCTCTCAAAACAAAAACAAAAACAAATTGAAACAAATAAAACTATGGAGTGAGGCATTTACCCCAGCAGTTAAAATGCTGGCTGAGATGCCCACTTCCCATGTTCAAGTGCCTGGTTTCAATGCCCAGCTCTGCTCCTGAATCTAGCTGCTTGCTAATGTAGACCCTTGGAGGTGGAAGTGAGAACTCGGGTAGTTGGGTTTCTACCACCTACACGGAAGACCTGGGTTGAGTTTGTGGCTCCCGGCTTAGTGGGGCCTTGTGTCAGCCACAGTGGGCATGTGGGAACTGAACCAATGAGTGGGAGCTCTCTCTTCCTCCCAAATAAGTAGTATTTTCTTTTTTTTTTTTAAAGATTTATTTTTATTATTTTTTTCATTGGAAAGGCGGATATACAGAGAGGAGAGACGGAGAGGAAGATCTTCCGTCCGATGATTCACTCCCCAAGTGAGCGCAACGGCCGATGCTATGCCTATCCGAAGCCAGGAGCCTCTTCCGGGTCTCCCACGTGGGTGCAGGGTCCCAAAGCTTTGGGCTGTCCTCGACTGCTTTCCCGGGCCACAAGCAAGGAGCTGGAAGGGAAGCGGGGCTGCCGGGATAGAACCAGCGCCCATATGGGATCCTGGGCGTTCAAGGCGAGGACCTTAACCACTGTGCCACCGTGCCGGGCCCTAGGTAGTATTTTCAATTTCAAAAGAGAAACCAATTTAGAAATCAGTATGTGCCAAACCACATGCTTGGCATTGGGAGGAAGATGAAGCCCTCACCCTGGAGGTTCTGTGCTAGGGGCTGTGCCAGACAATAAACAGTGTATGCCATATAGGAAGGGTCTGGAAGAAGTCAGTGGGTCCTCATCCACCAGAATTTTAAGAAACTTCTTAAACTTGCCAATTTAACACCGCAGGTGTTTCTTCTCTGAGTATCACATGAGCTAGGCCTCTGAAAAGTGGTACTTTTTCAGGGTGGGATGGGGCAAATACTCCTAAGCCAATTTAAAGGGTGAATCATTTAAACTCTCTCTTCTACATTGCCTAATCATCCCAAATCCCTCCTACAAAAATCTTGGAGTCGTCCCTGATTCATGGTAATTCCTACCAAATAGAGTGAATGAATGATCAAACATGGACAGAAAGGATACTGAGGCTCTAGAGGAAGTGGACACACTTAAGTAAGTAGCCATAAGAAGCATTCTGCCCCTTTCCTAGCTGGCTCTGGTGAGAGAAAGAGCATCTCTTGGATTTCAACTCAAGAGGAGGCAGAGTTCTGGCTACCAGATTCCGACTAGCCATTCTGAATACTCCAAGAAGCCAGGCCTTGTGACTTCCTTGGGAAGCTTTGCCTCCCTTCCCCCCACTACAATGGTCTGCTAGTGTCCTGGGGCCACCTGGGGTTGTGATCCTCAGCCTGCCTTGCAGATAGAGGGGATCTGGTGGGAACAGCTGTCTTTCCTGCAGGAGAAGGGCAGCAGTGACTGTGAGAAAAAGCTGCCCAAGTTCAGAGCAGCAGAGACCAACAAAGGCTGTGTAATGAAGATGTCATCAATAAAGGGCGGGGCAGAAGGCAAGGTTACTAAGGAACAGGTGCTAAGGGACTCACATATGCTTCACACCTTTGAATAAGGTGGATTGCTTTTCCCTTGGTAGTTTGATCTACTGCTTACAAAAAACCCTGACCCCTCCCTGCCCGCTACCAAAATGAGCCTTTGGCTTATACTGCTGCTGCAGTTAGTACAGGCAACACCTCCTCAGGAGTGGGACCAGAACTTGGTCCAGCTCTCTCCCGAGGCCTGGTCTACCCAATCTATGGGTGGACTAGATGAGTTCAGTGCGCTGACAACTGAAACAGACCCCAGTGGCTTTGATGACCTGGGGTCTACAAATGTTCTAGATGACAATGTCGTCTATCCTGGTGGCTTCCCGATGGAATTAGAGGAACACCCAGGTGAGCTCCTGGAGACCTTTGATGGGGCAGAACCACCTGAACTTCAGCCGGAGGACATACCTCAAAGCCCCGAGACTCTTGAGGAGGGCCAGCCTTCGTTGCTCCAAAAAGAAGGCTTAGTCCAGGTTCCACAGCCTCTCAAGGAGACTACACCTTCTCCAATGCTGCAGGGGTCTCCAATTCAGATCTCTGCTGCTGAAGAAGCTGTCCGGCAGCTTGTTCAAAACAAGATCAGTGTTCCACGTCCACCGCTGCAATCTACTTTGCCAAGCATCACAGGGAGGCCAGCGGATGTGATGCTCACAATTACGCTACAGCCAGGTGGTGAAGTTCAAAGTACTCTGGGCCAGCTGCAGGCCCAAGTTCAGCCTGTGGGGATCTCGCAAGGGGAATCCCCTCCCTCAATCCCACAAGAGGCTCCAGCTCAGACTCCAGGCCCTTCTGTAGACCTAGAGCCTTTCCCGAGTAATCAAGAGGAGTCTGCTCAGTATGCTGAGCCTTCAGTGGAGGTGGAACCTCTAGGCCAGCAGGTGGCCCCAATTCCTCCTGCTCCAGGCCCATCTGTGGGAACAGAATCTCTTCCAAGCCACCAGGTGACCCCAGCTCAGAGTGCACGTCCTTCTGTGGAGGTCACATCTCCTCCCACCCAGCTGGAACAGCCAACTCAGGATGCTGAGCCTTCGTTGGAGGCAGAACCTTCTCCAGGCCAGCAGGAACAGAAAGCTGTTGAAGAGGTTGAGTCTATATCTTCGCCAGAAATACCTCAGGAAGAGGAACCCTCATCTGAGGAAATCAGACTGTCTCCAGCCCAGCAGGAAGCTCCAGCTCCGGTGTCAGAGACCGAAGAAGTGAAATCTCCACCTGCAGAGTCTCATGAGGCGGCAGTTCCTCCTGAAGGTCAGTCTCCAACATTGCTGGGTGTGTCGGTTAACCCTGCAGAGACCATGACCGAGGCTATAACTTCAAGCCAACAGGAAGTTGCAGCTCAGGCCTCGGGGAACACTGAGCTGGACCGGACACTCCTGAAAGGAGGTGACCACTCAACAGTTTCCACAAGTATTGATGAGTCAGGAGATCCTGAGGTCACCTTCACTTCACCTTCAGAGGTTGAGCCTTACCCAGCCTTACCTTCTTTAGCTGAGCCAGAGGCCATGGATGAGACTGCAGCTTCCCCTAAGGAGATAGAGCCTATCCCTACAGAATGGGAATCTCCAGCTGAACCCCTGGAGGCCCTTCCGATCACCCTTCCGTCTCCACCACGGCTGAAAGTGTCCGCTCAACATCCAGAAATGACTGTGGGTTCCAAAAGCCAACCCCAAGTATATTACCTGACTCCATCTCCTACTACAGAGGGTGTCATTTCTTCGGAGCTCCTAACCCAACCTCCAGAGCCACTTCAAGAATCTGTAGATGAGGAGGCAATAGTCCCCAAACCAGCTCAGGAGCAGGCTCCGTATTTAATATTACCCAGGGTCACCTTTCAGCCTTTGAAGCTGCAGCTGACTATAACTCCAGGACCCAGTGTGGAGGCTGAACATTCTACAGCCCTGAAGACCACAACAACTCTGGACTCTGAGATTTCACATCCAGACCAGGTCCAGACTCACCATGCAGCCCTGCCCAAGGTCACAGTTGCACACTGGGACCTGGGAAATACCCCAACTCCAGAACTCAATATAGAGGTTGACCAGGCTCCAACCACTCAGGAGACCCCTGTGCAGCTTACAGAGCCATCTACAGAGGTGGCAGCTCAACCTCCAATGTTGCAAGAGGTGGCCGTTCCAACGCCAGCTCCACCTCAACCTCCAGTGACACCCAGTGTCACAGATCAGACCTTGAACCTACCACCTACACCTACCAATGGTCCAGAACCCACTGCAGAGGCTGAGCACGAAACCGCCCTGAAAGAACCTACAGGAACGAGTCCAGATGCAATTCTGACTCAGCATCTAAACCCGAGTCCTGCTGTGGAGGTCGAACATTCTACAGCCCCGAGGAGTGCCAAAACACCACCTCCAGGTGTCCCTGAGGTGACACTTCCACAGGCAGAGCTGGTTCAGGCGCAGCATCCAAACCTGACTGAAGTCACAGTTCAGGCGTTTGATATTCAGCTGGCTTTTCAATCCAGAATTGCGGAAGTTGAATCATCTCCAGCCCTGCAGAAGACCTCAGCTCAGCCTCCAGAGCCTCCATTGGAGGTTGTAGCTCCAATTCAGCATATAGTGCCAGTCAGTGTCACAGTTGAAGCTGTGAAGACAGAAATTTTCAAAATCCCAGAACCCACCACGTTGGCTGAACAGTCTACAGCCCTGGAGACTACATCAGCAGCACCTCCAAGGCATTCTGAGGTGCCACCTACATATACAGACCAGAGCCAGACTCAGCAAGTCACAGGCAATCCTCTCAATTTATCTACAGAGGTCAAGCCTACAACTATTTCGGTTACTCTAACTCGGCCACCAGAGCCAACTAGTGATATAGT